AGTCAAAGTCCTGACCTGAATCCGATTGAGATGCTGTGGCATGACCTTAAAAAGGCGGTTCATGTTCGTAAACCCTCCAATGTGGCTGAATTACAACAATTCTGCAAAGACGAGTGGCCAAAACTCCTCCACAGCGCTGTAAAAGACTCATTGCCAGTTATCACAAATGCTTGATTGCAGTTGTTGCTGCTAAGGGTGGCCCAACCAGTTATTAGGTTTAGGGGGCAATCACTTTTTCACACAGGGCCCTGTAGGTTTGGATTTCCTTTTCCCTTAATAATAAAGATCTTCATTTATAAACTGCATTTTGTGTTTACTTGTGTTATCTTTGTCTAATATTTAAATTTGTTTGGTGATCTGAAACATTTAAGTGTGACAAACATGCAAAAGAATAAGAAATCAGGAAGGGGGCAAACACTTTTTCACACCACTGTAGAAATAAGAATATTAGAAGAAGATATAAGAAACGTGTTTTCTTTGGGGACTATTTTGTCTTCCAACACCCTGCATGTACCTTTCTACAATAAATAGATTAAAAAAAAGGTTTATAGGGTTATCAGAACTATAATGAAGCAATGTCTCAGACATCAGGAAGCATATTCATAACCATTTCATGCAAGAGCTAGGCGATATGGCAAAATGTAATTTCATGATACTTCAACTTTTCATGATACGTCACAATATTTCTGACATCTGATAAGTTGGAACAGACAAAGTAGTGCCATATTAAAAAGAAATACCATCAAAACAATGAATACAATTTTTTTGTATTCAATATTTCACTATTATTATTTCAATATTGCACTAAATCCAATTAAACAGGACAAATAATGCTCTCTTTGCAATCAAGGATGCAGTAGCGTTCCTATCACAACCCACAACAGTTCTGACTTGCTAAGTTTCTCTAGAACAAAGCATTTAAAGACTTTGTTTACATCTTTCTATGCAGTTACTAAATAATAAGCTTTGGATGTAATAAGCCTGAGGAACGTAATAAGCCTGAACACTAGCACATTATCTGTGCAGTGTAACGTAGTAAACTACTAAAACAATACTAAAGTAACTGATCTGATAACAACAGTTTGGAGAGTTCTTGTTTTTCTCAGTTCTGACACGTTCACCTCGTAGGGAATGCGGAATGAACGGATTTGGCGGGAATTTTTGAATCTCCTCCGTTTCCTTCATGAGACAGCAGCACCACGCCCACTCTGCTGCCTGACTGAGCCAAACGCTCAAAAAAATCCACCCAGAAAAAACTCCACAAAACTTGGCACGCATTTGTTTGGAATGGGAAAGCACTTTAGGCAAAGTGTGCAACTGTGTGTACGAGTGCATGTGTGTGTATGTGCGTGTGTCTGTCTGGCTCCATGCGTTTTCAATCCAAGAAAGCCTGAGAAAAGGCGCTGGAGTGGAGAAACACCAGCTATCCGTCTGAAACAGAGCCACACATGGTGGAAGAGCAATAAGAAATAATGTGGTATTTCAACATATCCAGCATTAAAGCAATTACTCTCTCCATGCTCTGCCCACTTCTCGTCCCATCATAGCTACTGTTGTGAGGTTGGACAAGCTTTACAAAATCCTGGTAAAAATCCCATTCAACCTAATGAGAAACTGTAATTCACAACTCAGTTTATATCACAACACCTACATTTGGAGAGTGTTATCCCTTTCAAATAACATTTATTTTCTATGTTGAATGTGAAAGGCAACACTGTTAGGACAGTTTTTGGCAAGAAAACACTTTTTTTTCAGGAATAAGCATCTGACTTATAGGCTAAACAGAAGCTTCAGCTGTTTTAGTGCTGCTAGCGGACACTGTAGCCATAACCAAATATGATTGCCATGTCTTAACTGTCAAATTCGAGAAACTCAGAAAGACTGAAGTCAACTACTTCTATCAAGGTCCCCTATTCACAGAGTTATTACCGCCCCCTAGCATCTGGAGGTTTGGTTAGCCCTAGCATAAATGCAAAAACAGTACAATGCACTAAATTACAATGTAAAAAGTTCACAATAATGATAAACTAGCCTCAAATATAATTTTGTAATTAATGCAGGGCAAGACAGGATGAGATGATGTATAAGAAAAAAAGACAATGCAAAAGAGAGAAAGTCAATGGTGACTCTTGGTTGAAGGCTACCTTCATAGGGGCTTCATAACAAATGCATAAGCACTGAATAACATATTTATAAAGCAGTACTTAAGTATTTACTGGTATACCAGTAATCGCAAGATGACGTGAGTTATTTTATTAAGTAAATGACATTGTATTGACATAAGGGGCCTAAACTAAAGAGACAAACATTTGTTCTTTTAAAACACTGTTATGAAGGATCATTCCCACGTTAAGGAACTTATAAGGTTGAATTCTAACTGCATCATAGCATAGTATTAGAGATAGTAGCCCATTACAGGTAGCAGCATAATAACAGGTTATTTACATTCAGTTTGGACACCCTTGGTAAATGATTTTCTAAGTACCATACACATCCTCCTCTTCTGTGCATTCAATGCGCTACTGTTTATTTGCTAAGTTTACATAATGGAAAAAAAAAAATGAATAAAACACCAAACATGGGCTGTGCAAAAGTTACGGTGTATTTTATGTTTGTTTATTGTCTATATGTTAAACTCTTTTTGCAGAAAAAAAGCCTCGTATAAGTTCCCTGTAGAAGATGTGTTAACTTAAATCAACAAAATGTGTAATTTGACAAGGGCTGTTCAAACCTTTGCCAACTGTAATGTTCCAGCAACCAAATGAGCAGTGCTAAGTGAAAAATGTGGACAGTCCAGTGAAAGAGCCTTACAATCTAGTAACACTCCTGACCTCACGCTTCATTTCAGAGATAGACATCTTAATAGCCCCGGAGGAAAAATGACAATGGCTCACACACAGTCCGGCTGCCGTGGCTCCCACACCACGTGCACGATGTGATTTACCAATCATGAATGACTCACTTGTGCACGGAAACACACGCGACACAAGCAGCAGCATGATGCACGGAAGACGATTCAATTCAACTCCATTCATTCCTGCTACCGTGTTTATCTCTCTGAAGATCAAATGTCATGTCATTAAAACATTTTTATCACAACAAATAATGTTGTATTTTATGCTTTATATGTTACATGGGCTACATATGAACAGATACAGTGATCTATACTTGGAATATGAACAAAGAAGTATGTATTCATGAGCATTGTGATTGTAATTGCACCCGGTGTCATTATAAAACACACTGCCATTGGTTGGGAAGATTTCATGCAACAAGCAGCCATCATGGAGAAGGAGTTTCCTAAATTTATCAGGGACAACATTATTAAACATTACATGAAAGGAAAAAGCTACAGAGCAATAGCAATGATCTTAAACTTCTCTGTTAGTACAAATGTTTTGAAAATATGCAATTACAATGTTCATGGAACCATATCTAACTAATTGACAGGTGCACCATGAAAGATTTCACAACTTGCTCTCGGACTGGGATGGAACTGTTTGGCAATAATAAAATGTTTGGAGAAAGAAGGTTTATAATCCCAAGAACACCACATTAACAGTGAAGTATGAAGGTGGGAGCATCACGATATGGCTCTGCTTCTCTGCAAATGGTGCTGGGGCATTAGACATCATCGAAGTAAACATGAATGAAGCGATGTACCGGGAGATATTAGAGGAGAATTTAATCTCAAGAAATTGAATCTGGAGCGAAGATGGATGTTTCAACAAGACAACCAAACATACAGCTAAAATAACTGGTTTCTAAAAAGGTGAAGGTGCTTGCATGACATCTCCTGACTTGAATAACATTGATAATTTATGGAGTTTTTTGACATTCTGAGTCCCTCATATCCTCGTAAAATTCACTGTGAGACCCATTAGTATCATTTACATTACAACAGACACATACACTCCCATTCAAAAGTTTGGAATCACTTTTCATACTAATAATTGTAACTCAATAATAACTTCACACTGAAAAGTTATAAACTAGACGCCAAGTTAAACAGTTTATTCTCAGTTGAGAGTATTTTGGAAACAATTAGAAGTGATGACACAGTAAAAAATAGCAAACATTATTAAGTACCGAACTGTAATTATCTAATTCACATGAATTACTATGAATGGCTTCATTCTTAATGCTATTCAATTTCCCCAGTATTTAAGGAATAATCTACAGCTTCATTCATCCTTCAGTTTAACAAATAACTTCAAAGCTACAGAATGTGTGCATCATATTATAATCACTTTATACATATATCTGCAACAAAACAGGTTTTATAGTACTGACAACAATGATTCCAAACTTTTGAACGGTACTGTACACCTGTACATCAGCACACTGTCTGCTTTATATACAGTGTAGTCACAAACAGCGATGCATGTAAATACTGTATATTCACTGTACACCAGCTACTACATAGGTGACACTATATACCCACTGCCACACAACCTTAAGCATATACATACTGTAGATATAGTGTTAGTATGCGTACGCATATAGCAATGGATGCACACAAGTACATACATGCACTGGGCACCCGTTAGTACCCATAAATGTCATGACAAGCTAGCAAATTTACTAGGCTACTTACACATACGTGCTTAATTTCAACACAATAAGCATGTAATACTGCCAAACTACACTCAAAGTCCACTCATAAGTACAATACAATAAACATCACAACAGATTGTATGAGATACACAGTACAATATATTTGAACACACCGATAAAGAGAGAAAGTGAACGATGCCAATGAAACTATAACAGAAGCACAGCACAGTACTAGTGACAGTAGCCCACTATAGCATAGTCATAGATCAAATATTATACAAGCAACCAAATAAACAGTGCTAAAGTGGTAAATCTGGACAGTCCAGTGAGAGAGAAGTCCATTAACTTTCCTGCCCACACGCTTCTTTTGACAGACATAATTTTGTTCTGAAAATGCATAAAAATAAACATAGCACGTGTGTCCCACTAATCTCCGCACTGACCTTACAGATCTTCCTCTCCTCCGCCTCTCGGTTCGAACTCTCCTGTAGCTCCGTTTTGATTGACAGCTGACAGTTTGGCCCCTGCCCCCTTCCCCCTGACCTCTGACCCGCGGGGTTTGGGATGGGCAGAGCGGTGTGTACGGGCCGGGCACCGGCCAACGGTGGCCGCAGCTTAGAGGCTACTCCAACCACGGGCATTACAGCGGCTCAGACAGAGTGAGGGAAAGAGAGAAGAAAGAGTCCAGTGTGCGTGTCTGTGTCTGACGTCCACTTTGGAAAGGAGGGAGGAGGAAAGAGAGGAAGAGACAGGAAAGAAAGAGAGAGTGACAGACGGAGAGAGAGAGAGAGAGAGAGAGAGAGAGAGAAAGGCGAGAGGTAGAGAGAGAGAGCAGCCACATGCATTCTTCAGTCGCTCTCACAAAACTGAAAAAAAACTCTCCACCACTCTCTCCTCCTTCTCTTCTCTACTCCTCCTCTCTTGCTCTTCCACTCCTCCTCCTCTCTCTCTCGCTCCCTCTGCCTCTGTCTTTCTGGCTCTCTCTCTTTTTACTCCTCCCTCTCTTCTTTCGTTTCGGCTGCGCGCCTCTAGCAAAAACCAAACAGCTCTCTCTCAGAAGGGGGCGTGAACTTATCACCACAGAAGACCTGCAGAGAGAGACAGAGAGTGGTTCTCTCTCTCTCTCTCTCTCTCTCTCTCTCTCTCTCAATTCAATTAAGATCAAATCAATTATGGGAAGTGTTATTGGTATGTTGGTAGTGGTATTAGTTGCAGTTAAAATGTAACAAAGAATTTAAATCTCTTCTCTTCTCTTCTCTTCCTGTCTTTTTAATTCTCTATCTCTTTTATCCTGTTTGTCTTTCTCCTTTCCTTTATCCCCCTTTCCCTCATTACCCCTTTCTTTCCTTCTCTATCAATCTCTTTTTCCTATCTCTTTTCTTCTCTCTCTCTCTCTCTCTCTTTCTTTCTATCTCCCCCTTTTCTCTCACTTGTAGAACATTCCACAGCCGCGTGTCACACTCCAACTGTCAAAACAGGCTCTCTACCTCACACTGATCAGTGCACACACGCATACATGCACACTCACACACTCATACACGCACACACAGCTGGATCGTCCTGATGCTGTGAGGAAAAAGAACAAATGAAACGAGGAAATAAGAAACACGAGGAAACTTGTGGGGGGTGTTAAAGAAGCAGGAAGAGTATGGATGTGTGTATGTGTGTGTGTGTGTGTGTGTGTGTGTATGTGTGTGTGTGTGTGTGTGTGTGTGTGTGTGTATGTGTGTGTGTGTGTGTGTGTGTGTGTGTGTGTGTGTGTGTGTATGTGTGTGTGTGTGTGTGTGTGTGTGTGTATGTGTGTGTGTGTGTGTGTATGTGTGTGTGCATGCAGTGTCTGAAACATGCACACACACAAACACATACACATACTGAAGTGCTCTGTCTGGTTCTTGAACTACATTTCACTGCTGCCAAACTACACTCTCTCTCTTTCACTCTCTCTCTCTTTCCTCTCTCTCTCCCCCTGTCTCTCATTCAATCATCTCATCTATCATCTCCACCCAGTACATGGAAACAGTTAGTGAGTGGAGTGAGAGGTGAGAGAGGGGGAAACAGAGAAACAGAGAGAGGGAGAGAGAGCAGAATTAGGAAGTTATAAAAAGTTAGCTAATGAAGATTCCCTCTATATTGAAGGGTTCACCTTTTAAACACACACACACACATAAATAAATAAATAAATAAATAAATGGACGGATGGATGGATGGATGGATGAATGAATGAATGAAGTATTCACATCTTAGATATTTACAAGGATTATGTTATGATCTATCCAAACCCCAGGTATTGATAGAAACATTAAAAAGTTAAATACAGAATCAACGTTTATAGTGTACTTTCTGCAGTGAGGTGTCTGTCCCAACCTCTAAATTTCAACTCAAGACCTTTTTAATTTCTTTTAAATGTATTGAAGAAATGCTGTTCTACATTTTAATGTCAATAATGTTTTAGTCCATGGGCGGAGCCTTATTTTAGCCACACCCCTGCATTTCAGAACAGGAAGTAAGACTGCATCCTTCTCTCTCATGGCCACACGGTGACCAGTTAGATATCATTGTTTTGTAGTAAATGTGTCTCAAACGTCTGAAAATCAGTGTGTAACATTAAGAACTGTCACTACTGAAACAATTCATTTCTGCGTTTGCTAGTCATGTAGATGGAGTTCTCAAAATTAGCTAACATTGTCACTACCAACACAGTCACTACTGAAATATTTGATACATTTAATCATGTATTATAACAAAATAGACATAATTAAGGAATAGTGTCACTCATAGCAAATTTTAGTCTGAAGTCCACGTCAGTCAAAAGTCTGAAATGTGTTTTGAACCAGTTCAGTAGAATCATCCATATACATAAAACAGACAGCACACAAATAATCTAGAAATAATGTAAAGGTTGTGCAAAAGGGGTCATACGTTGCGGACTACAGCTGGCTTTAGCTGCAGAAAACTATAGCAACTTTAGAGTGTGTTCACAGGTTTGGTTCAATTAATATGAACCCTGATGTGAACGCTCTGTCAGCTCGGCTTGTTAGAAGTGTGAACGCTGCCATTAGAATTCTGTTGCAACAAACTCCACTTCCAAAGCGGAGTTAGTTTGAAGTATGAATGCAAAATGGTTCAATAACATCTAAATAGACCAACCACAGAATGAACTGTTGTCTCCTCTTTCTACAGACCTGCTCTGGTTTCTGCAACAGACGAACTGACGCTGTTTTCACACTTCGGTGTGTTTTATCATCTTTTCAGGAGCTCTGACCTGGTCATCATTAAAACGGATTGTTTTGGTTTTAATGTGAGACTGAGGCATGTGCAAAGCCATATAAAAACACACCATATCATCACTGCTAGAACAAAACCATCTCCAAAATATGTTTACAGAAGAAGGGAAAATGTTCTTAAGTTGAAGTAAAAACATATTTTCCACGTAATGCTGAACTATTTCTATTGGTCTATCCATTCTGAAATTTTCACACAAAGAAAGGAAATGCTGTTTAATAATAAATAAAAATTAAAATAAAAAATAAAAATTACAGCAAAAATGGAGATACAAGGTTTTGTCCCAACAATGTCAATATAAACACATACGACTGCACCTATGATCGATATTGTGTATTCATGTGTGTATTAAGATTAAGTTTTAATGCTTTGCAAAAGCAATAAGCTGCTGGAGGTTGTGGTTTTGCACTGATTTCACTTTCACTTTCAATATCATCATGGCAGATTGCTTTAGAATATTGCAACACATAGACAGATAAAACAAAAGTTTGCTGGAGCCTGTCCCAGCAGTCATAGCTAAGCTAAACTAGCCAGCTATCCACCCACACACACATCATCTAAACCGCTTATCCTGCATGTCTTTGGACTGTGGGAGGAAACCCAGGCAGAACACGCAAACTCCACACAGAAATGACCCTGGTCAGCTGGCCAGGAATCGAACCCAGGCCATTCTTGCTGTGAGGCGACAGTGCTACCCACTGTGCCACTGTGCCGCCTTTGTTAGCTTACTTTTATCGTGATCCATAGAGTGATTAAATGCAAGCTACAAATCCTGTTAACCAGAGAAATAACAAGGTGTTGCATGGAAATTACGCTTCAAATATTGTTTTATCTGAAAATATATTTAGGCAATACATTAATTGTATTTGCCAACAGGTGAACTCTGAGGATCTCTTGTGACATCAGACAACAGTGGTTAAAAAAATAAAAAATAAAGAGATGTTGTTTACTGTCACAAAAAACCTCCCCAAAACTTCTCAGGAGAAAAAAAATCCAAACTACCATTTTAATAATAAATAATAATTTGTTAGAAATAAATAATATTAATAAATAATAAGTTGTGAGAAATTTTACTCACCAACCTTAAATCTTGGAAAATTGTATTCATTTTAATTGTAGAAAATGTTTTCAGTCAAGCTTGTGCATCCAGGCCAGTACCACTAGACTTCATGAGCAGACTGTGTTTGTTTGAATGAGCGGTGTGAATCTCTCTCAGGTCCTCCAGCCCTGAGGGAATCTGGACTCAGAGAAGATCTGGAAAGGAACCAGGTGCACTGAGGATTCCCTGAAAAATGCTGAGGAGGATGAGGAGTTTCACACAGCATCTCCCTCGGGAGGGTTCAGAGAGTGTGTTCTCACAGCAGCTACAAGCAGTGTGTTTTCTCACTTCACAGGTGAGGCTTTCACACCTTTTCACAGAAACATCTCAGCAGGCCAGGCATGCACAAATCCCACACCACCTGCATGCTGCTGAATCAGAGAGAGGAGGGATTTAATCAGCCTGGGTAGTATTTCTCTCTATATCAATAATTATTGATCATTATTACATGCATTTCAAAAGAGTGAACTATAAGTCTATTTAGTATGTAGAAAGTATGAAGAAAACTGATTTCTTGGAACCACTTTCTTTCTTGGACATGGAACCACTTCCACTTTGCAGATGGAGAAAAAAAAAATGACTTGATACTTTTCTGCAAAAACTTTATAAGCACACCAGACTACCACCGCAAGTCTTACACAGCACCAACCCAAGGGCGTTCCTCTTACCATGCTAGGGCTGACTTCCCAAAAGTGCATAATAGAGCTAAAAAAGTAATTTGGAATTAAGCGACATGCATACTTGACATATAGTGCACTATTTGGCTATAGAAGCTAGAATTTTAAAACGTACATAGTTAGCACTCTATTTAGAGAGTATGGAGCTGTTTAAGATTTAGCCTGAGTTTGTTGCTGCTTCTGATTGAAACATGGACAACTGAAGTGTGTAAGCCATTCATTCAAGTGTGATATTAATGATGGTTGTTAGCTATCTTTTAGCCAGTTAACTAGCTGATCAGCCCAGGTCTAGTTAAGAAAATAAGCTGTCAGCTCCTCAGTTTAAACAAAAACAGGTTCTTACTTCATCAGTACACTCAGTGGTCCATGCGAGCAGCATTAGAGTTAAAGATTATTCCATTAACATCACAAGGATTTTTCACAACGTTGTGCAGTAATACAGAGTTCAGTTGTTGTGAGGTGGTCATACATGTGCGTATACCAGGTGCATAATGAAATTTAAGGACTGGAACTGTCTGTTCCATAATATACTGTACACACTGCTGGTCTGGAACAATTGAACTGCCTGATTTTGAATTCATTTCCTTTGAAAACTGCCTAATATTGAAGACAATTCCATATGATACCATGTGAAATACCAGGCAAATGTTTGGACACACCTACTCCTATTATTATATCAAATATTTAATATAATAACATTTTTTTTACACTGAGAATTTTGTTTTTGGTAATAAATTTAAATATGGGCATCAATTGCACTATTTTATATTCAGAGATATATTAGGAACAAATCAGGGTCAAAACGTTTGACTGATGCTGCAAGTAGAGTAGAAGAGAACAGGCAGAACATTTCTGGTGAAGTGCCACATCTC